ATGGGGATATAGAAAAAAATTCATTTTTGAAATTAACATAAGATATTTATAGATTCTTCTAGAGTATCATACATAAATCAAACCTGGATACTCTGAATGGAAATTTGAAAAAAAAAATAATAAAGAAAAGCAGACATTCTTTCTATAACAATATTCTCCTCTCTACTCTAGGGATCCAGAGGCCAAAAAAATTTTTTCTTTTCTTAAAGGAATTATTAATATGAGTTCATCAGGCATGCTGTGCTCATTATTGGTACATAAACATTTTTAATAGGACCGTTGAGTATTATTAAAATATCGTCAATATAAAAATCTCTTCATAAAGGAATATAGACTATTCTTAGGAACCATCTTGCAAGTTGACAATGAGTCTCCACTGTTTCAAAAGATGTTATCCGTCAAACATCTAGAGCTCGATAGTGTGTCATTTTTTAGGAAGTTTTACCTCCCTACTCACTTGTTCTGTCGTACAGACTTGAATACTATCATATATATTCTTCAAGGATTATAATCAGTATTGGAATCTTCAGAACGTCAAAATTTTCACAAAACTTTATCTCTTATACACCATTTGATGTGCCGCAAATTGCTCTAGAAAACCACACACATATATATATATATATTATTCTAGTTCAAGATGAATCAGCAAATTCAGTGGAATAATTTCATCAATAAAACATCATTCTATGAGCTAATTTCTGAAAAAATGAAGAAAAACGTTTTTACATTCTCGTAGATTTCAGTTCGATGCATCTACTTCATTCACATTGAGAAGTCTCTAATATTTGTTCATGTGTGGTGTTAAACTTATTAGTTGTTTTTTGCAAATGACAAGATTTTCTTGTTTGATGATAAAAATAATGAAAATTGAAAAACTAAACAATATGATAAATGAAGTAACGAACTGTTCTGTATCAAAAATATTGCATTATTTTTTCTTTTTCATAGCAACTGAATTCGCATCGGTCATATGAAATGTTAAAATCATCAAACAAGAAGAGCTAACTTTTAACAAATCAAATCTACAGGCTGAGTCATTAATAGCACTACAATAATAATTGAAATATCTCTGCTTTAGTTCGCTCGAATGGACTCACTTTTTAGTTGGTGGTAGAATCTTATTTAAAGTCTTTTTTTTTTCATACGGATAAAGTAAACAAATACTACTATATAGAGTTATTGATAGTATCAAGTAAAAAAAAATACGTTTGTAGTGTTACATAGATAATTTTCAATTGTTGTAGTTTTCTTACTTGATACTAACGATAATATGATATAATTATATGGAGAAAAAAGTATTGTCATTCAATTTCATGATGCAGTTACTTATAATGGTTGACAGTCTATTAATGTCAATTACAATGAAAATTTAGCAAAACTATCGTACTGTATATGTCAAACAAACGAATAATTGATAATACAATTTTGGTAACTGTTAATCACTGATGCGTGTATCAGTTGATTGGATAAAACAAGAAAAAAGTGGAAATCATTTTAAAGATATTAAAAAAAGCCATCTTGATTGTTTCTTTTGTTATTATATTTTTAGATAAACATAATTTATATTTGTATAGAATTATTCAATTCAGAATAAAAATTTCCGCAATAGGCATTAATTTTTTTTGACAAAGAACTCATCAATTTGAAAATATTCTATTAAATAAATATATAAATCTATACAAATATATCACATTCATTATGCATTTTATTTAGTTTAATCATCTAATATATATATGTAAATAGAGACAATCCGACCAGGGATATGGCATCCCAATCCAGAAATTTTTTTTTTCCCCAACGGAGTCGAAAACTTTTCGTGTATTCTCTAAGAAAAAAATCGTGACATGCTTCTTCCACAGTTGACAACATCGATCTAGTCCTATATTTTAAAGAATATAACACTGTTAAACTTTCTATCATGTTTGATTCGTATTGATAAAACGTTCTTTTTGTTTGCCATTGAGAATTTTGAACTAAAAAGAAGACACAATATAATTTAAATTTTCTCAATAAAATAGATAGATATGATTTATCTAATAGTGTATGGTGATAATTTCTTTCAAAGTAATATTATTTTTATTGAATACAACAAATTCAGTTTTGTTGACTTGTTTAATCAGCATCCGTAAACCTTGTTAAAGAAAAACAAATCAATTTTCTACATTGTTCAAAGCCATAGTAAAATAAATTAATAAATATACCCTTCTTGATCATAAATATGTTAAAAGAAAATTTCATTTATTTATCCATATTATTCATTTAATTAATTAGATTTTTATTCCAGATTTGTTTAGTATTAATCAACAATACCTAGGAGTTTTTAGAGATAATAAACGAACTTTTTTACAGATATTAGAAAGTCTTATTTCAGAGAAAATAAATCTAACTTTTAAACAAATAAATTTTTCTTAATATTAATCTTAAAAAGAAAAAACATAATCAATTCTATGTTGATTTTATTTTTTTTCTAATATGGTCTCAACACAAAAAAAGAAAAAGGACGAAAAAAAGAACGACGGAAAAGTCATAACTGTGCCTAAGGAGGATGTTGACCAAAAGAAAATATTAGTTAATGTAATTTTGGACAAATTTAATGATGGCCACTCTTTTTTGATGATGATGAGTGTGAAGCTGGAGTTGGAACTGGAGCTGATGGTGTAGGAGGTTCAGATGCTAATCGTTTAGCTTTACGTGATTGAATCCATTTTGACATAGTATAACCAAAAAGTATCCAACCACCAATAACACCCATTACAGAATTAGCTCGACCACGAGTTGTATATGAATTAAAATGACGAACATACCAATTAGTAGCCATCTTTTGTCGAATATGAGCTGGAACATCAGCATCATGACCACCAGAAAATCGAATAAGACTTAATTTCATTCTTGTTTTTTTTGCGAATTTAAGAATAAAAATAGTCTAGAAAGATAATCAAATATACAATATCGTCTAACCAAAAATCAAAATACCTTAAAAAAACAACTCGACAATCTACTTACAATACAGAAAACCAATCAATTGTAAACAAAAACGCCATCTATTGACTTTTAAGACTTTCTTACTTTGGTTTTATAATATTTATATTTTTGCACAGATTTTAATTATAAATGTTATATTTAAATGGTATACAGATGTTTCATTCTTAGACATTCATTTTCAATGGTTACCATAGAAAAGAAATTAATGAATGGCTCCAACAATCTTTACCATGTCAAATAGAGGATGCGATGGGTGTGTGTGTTAGTATTCTCTAGGCATGCACCGAAACTCAATAACATAATTTTAATATTTCAAATTTGTTTTCTTGATTATGAACTATTATCAATAAACTGTCGCGCTACATGTATAGCCAGATGTCCGCCTTTGGTATCATTCAGTTACTTCTTCATTTGCACAAAAAAAACGACCCAACGGTTTGAGTGCATAGCAAGTCTTCTTTTATTTTTCATCCATATTCGCATCCCTGATCTTTATTTTTTTCATGGGCACTTAACTTTTTGGTACTGAAAGTTCTCGTGTTTGGCTTTCCGTGCTCATTGTTCCAGTTCATGTTTTTGATATTTTTAAAAAGACAATTAATGAAAATTTATTGATTATATTGGTTATGAGAGACAGAATCAAAGCAGAGTTCGATTCGACTTCGTTTTTGGAAAAAGCGTTTCGGATCAAAGTAGTCCTAGTTCTCCCTTATCAAGTCAAAAATAGTTAAAAGTTTGATTATGTACTTAGATATGTGTTCTCATAATCATTATGATTTTGAGTCATGTCTTTGTTAAAATCGAGGGTTTTTGCCGTAAAAGATGAGTATTCTATCACACTAAGAGATCAACTAAAACACTTTTTTCTTTGAAAGCTTATTTTTTCAAAAAATGACATTCACCAAAAAAAATGATTTGTTTTTTTGAACAAAATTTCACTTTTTTCGTAAAGCTTCTCGGCTTTATTGAGGATTTTTCTACTTAATATGTATCTCAAAGCTATCGAAAAAAGTAAACTTTTTCAGTTGAGTTGTCTGAATACTATTGGAGATGCGATAGGTACCAAAACTGAGTAATAGAAATATACTAAAATTATCATAGTTGCTACTATGAATGAGATATATATAAAGCTAAAATTTCTTTTTATGCGTCACTAAGCATCTCTAATGTTTGCACAAAGTTTCAGCTCAATATAATTCTTTATTAACGAAAAGATTATATAGCTGTTTAACAATCATGGTTTTCTCATTTTTCTCTTTGTTGTTTTAGGAAGAATTTGCGTTTTCAAAAAATAATACACATTAGCAATCTTGAATAATGATATATAACTTAGAAATATTTAGTGAAAAGTAATTATATGAGTTATCTGGTATACTATTATTAGATCACCTACTTCAAAAAACATTTTTTTAGGAACTGAAATTGGAACCGTTTTTTCCCATTTTTGCTAACCATAACTGCCAGCGTCTAATCAGTAGAGAATAGGTTGATGCCTCATCTTCGAACGATTAGGGTATCATATTAGAGTTGATATAAGTTTAAATTAATACTCTTTCATAAATTTGTGAATTAGAATTAAATTTTTAATATTAACGCATGACGCATGTCGCACGTTTGTGTGCACTACCGCCAGTTTACTGCAGTACTCACAAGAACCGGCGGTAGCACTTACCACTTTCAGTTTCAGTTATAAACGATTGCAGCGTGACTTAAAAAATATTCACTCGTTTTGATACAATACATCATGATACAGTACTGAACAAAATCGACGGTAGTTATTACTTGAGCGATGGCTTTGTTCTTCTAAATCTGATCATAATACGATAAAACTATTGAACACATTTCAATTTCTCAGAAAATATTCATCAACAATAAACAATTCGTATTCTCTGCTGGCATACATCAAATAACATCATGTAAAAACAAAACTATTTGAATGAAAAAGATTTATTAATAGACAGAAGGGGATCAATGAAAAAAGAAAACCAGATAAGGTTTATAATATGAATAAAATACAATCACCCGGGTATACGCAGAAGTCGAGTCCAAACGGCACTCTAAAATGAAATTTCAACAGAATGAAACTTTAAAATAAAATAGTAAGAAAAACTTACTGGCATAGCCCATAGAAATAGAAGTAAGAATATGATAAAACAAATTAAAAGCAATGCACCAATAATATACCATTTAGATTTTCTCCAAATGATATTTTTAAATGTACGAAATGGTGATGAAAACCAAAGAAATGATGTTTCAGGTCGTCTAAGAATTCAAATAAATTCATTTATTTTTATTTTAGCTATTTTTTTCAAAATTCTTACCGAGGTGGATCCAATTTAGGATTTTCATTTGGCTCGTCTCGACCATGTCCTGCTGGTCTTTCACGAGCTTCTTCTTCAGTTAAGATTTCAAGTTCAAGTTCAATTTTTCCCTAAAAATTATTTTCATTTCAATTGACATTAAAAAACTTAATAAGAAAAACTCACGGTTAATTCTGGATCTCCACCTTCAACATTAACACAAGGCCACCAACCTTTTACTCTTTTCATTTCAAATAATGAAACAGCATTTGATGATTCATCATCCAGTATATCCAATGTGCAAAAATCAGGATCTTTCGCTGGTTTATATAAACGATTTAAGTCAAGTGTTAATGCACCTATTTGTTTTTTTGAAAAATTAATTTAATATAAAATAAAAAACAAAGAAAATTTACCAAGAAAATCATCCGCACTAAATTTATCATTATCCCAAACTTGTAGATTTAATACAGGTGGAATTGTTAATTCAGTTGTGTCATAACTCCAAAAATGTTCTTTCTTTTTAACTGAAATACATCTTTCAGCTGGTAAATATGAAAAATCATAAACAAAACGCCAATTGAAATTTCCTTCCCCATCCATTGATCTAATTTTGAATAGAAAAATAAATTTTTTTAATAAAAAGAAAATAAATTAAACAAACCGATAATGTACATCCGTTTTTTGTACATCCTCTTCAATTCCACTCATCCATCCTTTAACATAAATGTCAGACATTTGTTCTCCTGTTATTGATGTTTCTTGTAATATAACATCACTTGTATTCCAAATAATACAACGAAGAATATAACTAAAATAAATCAATAACATATCAATTACATAAGTTCATAAGAAATCAATTCAGATAGATTCACATTGAATTTTTACATTACAAATTTTTTCACGTCACTAATGCTGTTTACTTATTCTAGAATCTATTGGATATGGACATAATAGATAAAATCTTATTTTCTAAATTTTCGATCTTCTAATTATGTTTCACGACCTCAGACTAGATCAATATAAATCAAAAACTTAACTTTATTGGCACGAATATGTTCAGAAACTTATTCAATATTATAAATAATTATTGTATCAGTCTGTAGCTAAATAAGGAATAGTGAAAAACTTATGCATTAATTTTGTTTTCAGTATAGCATGACAAAAAGTCGTCATGAAGACTTGAATAGTTTTCTTGTTAGAAAGAACAAACCTATGTAAAAATATTACGTTGAAAATCATCATTGAAAGCTAAAAGGTTTTAGAAACAGGTTCGATTGGAAAATTTCTGTGCAAGCTTCAGAAATTAAGAAGAAAGTCTTCATCTACTTAGAAAGTTTGTTGTATTTTCCATCTTTTTCAGCGCTGCGATAGGGCGTTATAAATAGGTAAAAATAATTTTTTCAATTTATCCTTTCAGTTTAAAATCGACATTTTTCTAACGCCCTTTACCAATAAAAACTGTTTAAAATTAATAAGTGATTTCAAAAAATAAGTTTTTTTCCGGCAATCGAAATTAGTAAAACTCACTATTTCATGTCCAATTAGAGTTTTGTGAACACTCTACAAAGTATTTTATAGAAAGCAGAATATAGTTTTTCTATTAGACATTATGAGAAAAACTTCGTTGGGTATTGTCGAAGATAAATCAAGTTTCTTATAAAACTATATTCTATGGAACCTGTCATTTTGTACTTCGAATCTTTTGATACTACTAGAGAGAATACGTCGCATCGATTACGCTTATGTATAACGTGACGAAACATTTTGAAAGCCGAGTGCAAGGCAAATCGATAAAATGTACTTCTCCTCACTGATTTTGTATGAAGTTGCAGGATACTTTTACAGTCAAATATGTTCTGAAAACTTTTCACCTTTCGATAAATATTTTGGAGGAAATATTTTTACACAGCTTTATAGTACAGACTTTGCCTCGTAGCTCTCAGTCTTATGTATATAGTGAAAAAAACATGTACACATACAAATTTATCTTTATATGATCAGGCTTATCAATTATTAAATATAAGTCTTACGGTTTTGGTTTTCGTGGTATTATAGTAAATGCAGGTCCTGGTGAACCTTGAGATTTTGGAAAAATATCAACAAATAATTCTAAACGACCTTGTTCAATTAAAGGTTGTATTGGATTAAAAAGTGGTCGAGTTTCAACATGTTCAGGACAAAGACGAAGTTTATGCAAAATATGTAAAGCTAAACGTTCTTCATCATCACCAACATGAATTGTCAAATGTTTTTCTTGTTCTAAAATCAAATCAAATATATATATAATTATAAATTAAATAAAAAAATTCCAAACAAACCAAAATCATCAAGATGAAATATATAATCTCCTATTTTAATTGAATGTTCATCAATTAATTCAGGAACTGGTAAATTATTTCTTTTACAAACATCATAAAGAATTTTTCGAGGACGAAAACTATCACGCCATTGATTTGGACCAGTTCTAAATAACGAAAAAATGAAAAACAAAATACTTATAGTTTATTCAGTATTTCTATAAAATACAAACACATTATATTGTAATGGAAGTCCACATGTTGCTCTATATTTACTCAAAAGTCGATTTTCTAAATCAATAGTTGTTTGTCCAATAACATCATCTGATGTTAATAAATCCCAATCTTTAACACGTATTGTTAAATCTTTAGCAGTTGGAATTATAGTTTTTATTTCAAACATTCTAAAACAAAAGTCGATTGAATTAAATTGAACAAATTGAAATAAAGAAAAAAAAGAACTAACTTTCCAAAAACAGGATTTGTTGTATTTGGTATTCTTTCATCTCGATTATCAATTGTTGTTTTTCCTAATTCAATTTCAATATAAGGATCTGATTTTCCATTTGAATCTGTTGGTTGTAAATCAATAGCTCGAATAATATAAACTCTAACAATACATTCTTCTAAACTATTTGATGGTAAATTTTCCAATGTACGATGTGGCAAAAGCTCATTTGGATCTTCAGGTAATGGATAAACTTTAAAAAGACCTTTAAATTCACCAACTATTTCATTTTCTTCTTCAAATTTTGTTTTTCCACGAGATAATTCAAATGTTCGACAAAAATCACTAAAACCTTCGTAAATTTCATGTAATTCAAGTGGATGAGAAAGAATCTAAAATTTTTAAATTTATAGAAATATGATTTAATTATTTATTTACTGTTAAAGTTTCATATCCTTTTTGTGCATATGAGCCACATTTATTTAGTTCACCTTTCGATGCATAATATTTTGACCACCAATCAATATCATCTTCAACTACCGGCTAATAAATAAAAAAAAAGCAGAGTTATACAATTATATGAAAAAATAACAAGTCTTGATTGCTTAAGAGTCTATTGAACTGGGGAAAAAGTTTTTTTTGTTTTCGTAGTGATATAGAATGCTATGAACATACATTGATTAATACAATTCATATAACAAATATTCTTCAATAAACTAATATCGAAGAGTATATTCTATCATTATTGGTAATTTAATCTGTGTAGTTCAAAAACCCTTCTATTGATTCTGCATAAAGCAATTGAAACAGTAATGAATACAGATATACGTCCAATGTTGATCTGATGAAAGAGTCTGCCCATTTGATAAATTAGTTTTCAAATAAATGTTATCTGATTAGATATACTCTATTGAGACTAGATAAAATTGAAAAGGATTCATCGTTATCAATCTTCGTTCTTAAGCTATCGTCATCTTTGTAAGTTTTTCAAAAAGATGTCATAGTCTTTTTTAAATCCCTTTGAAAACCGATTTTTGACTTCTCACATTGGGTAAATGAATGTATTAGGATAAAACTGATAAAGTAAAACAAGCCTCATCTCAAAAGCTATTCTGAAGAACAATAATAAATATTTCATAGCATTTGTCTCTCCTATCATTTACAATACGTCAAGACTGTTTCATTAGAAATCTATTTTAATATCAGTCACATATGCCACGTGTATGAAATTAGAAATAAAACTGATATAGATAGAATTTATTTGCCGTACTATATTCTGTCACTCAAGTTCGTATCAAAGGTACGATCTCATTCGTCTTTAGTCATTTCTGGTATTCAAAAAAGGTACAACCTATTAGCCTGAAACCTTTTATCACATATAAAGCATCTATAATAAAGAGACATGTGTTTGAAGAAGAAGATTTTAAGCAAGATCCACTTTGTATGAGTCGTACTAAGATTTATTCGATTGGGCTTAAAATTTCTATTTCTTTGAGAGATGGCTTGAACACTATTTGAAAAGTATTTTTGAGCTTTTTAAAATCATTTTTTCTTTTTTCTGTGAGAAAAATATGTAAAGGTTCGAATCCGTCAAAAACGGAAATGATAGATTACAGTTTGACGTAACTCGTTATATAACGAAGTGAGGTTCTATGGAAAATCAAGATTTTTCTGAAAAGACTCGCGAAAACCTTGTTTAAAATTTTTGTCCTCGAACATATGTTTCTGTATTTTAGATGATCTATCTGCAATAAAAAATTTCAGGCGGATCGATTGTTACCTTAAAGACATATGAACCATTAAAAATTGTTGAAAAAACAAACTATTATTTAGAGTTTTCTGTACAGAAACGGACCCTACTTGTTGCATATTTATATAAAAAAAAATAGTTGAAACGAACCTCTTCAATAACTGGAACACTTTGATATTGTTGAGGATGTTTAGCCGCCATGGTTTTTTGAATTTTCATCAATTTTGACTCTGGTTTCATCGGTGTTCCACTTGCTGACTTTTGTTTTTTTAAAAAACGTTTAACACGTTTTCTCATTGTTTTTTTATCAACTGCTTCTGTTGATACTTCATTTGTTGTTAACGCAACTGTTGTTGTTGCAACTGTACCATCAGCTAAACTAGCTGTTGGTTGTGGTGAAACTGACTGCTATTTGAAAACAATTTTTATTTTTAGAATTTTTTTTTCAAGTAAAATTTTACTTTTCGACGATTTTTTTTAGATTTTTTATCTGTTAGAGCAGCAACTTCTTCAGTTGGACTCATCGGAGGTGATATTGCATCTTTTGATTAAAGAAAACAAAATTTTATTCAATAAAATAAGTAATTAAATTCGAGCCCCGTGGGACATGCTTTTTCGTGTTCCACATCCTGTTTCTCACATTGATTGAAAGTTAGTTGACTGCGGAGAGTGTAGTGGTCAATTTAGTACTTTTTACCCGCTTATTTACCATGACAAATTCTTCTTCTCTACCCATAAGTCATTACTCAAGTCCACCCCTCATTCTGCACCTCTAACCATCGTTTCAAAATGAGAAAAAGTTTGTTGAGATCGTAAAAATGGGCTGAGTGCACATCTGAAATCTATTTTTTTTTGAAAACTCAGAAAATGATGATAAAAAGTTGATAGTTTCCTTACATGGTCATAGATTCATTATCTCTCAACTTGTCTACTGAACTGAACGCGACTGAACTTTAGTCTGATTTTTTTCTACGGGACTGTAAAATTTAAGAAAAGCAGATGTTGTATAGAATCGCGTTCTGACATTTTTCGGGCTCGTGCAAACAACTGCTTTTCTACTCGAACTTTATCTGAGTAGCAGGCAAGTTATTTTTTCTGTTATTTATTCAAATATTAAGATACTTTATTAGAAATAGAAAATTCGGGGCAGTCCCAACTGTCCCGTAGGATTCTTGATTAAATCTTACGAGCTGCTTGCATAATAGTTAATGATGGTGCAGTTGGATCACATCGAAAACGTTCAAGAGATTTGATAACATGAAAACCAACAACTGGTTTTCTTCCAAATGATCGATGATCTTTTACTTTAATATTCATTGGTGGTGCATAAAGATCTTCTTGTGGTAACATCTAAGTACATCAAAAGAAAAAGAAATAAAAATTTCCAATTAAAAACACAAAGCTGTTAGTGCGGTCTCTACGGAATTAAAATGCGAAACCCAATGCAGCTGCTCTTACTAATCACAGGAAGATTGTTTTATTCTACAAATTTCCAGACACATGCCTTCACCATCTGTTTACTGAATCTTCTAGAAATCCAATAAGGTAGTAAGTAGTTCATATATTAGGACAAGATGTTATTGGCATACGATCTTTAATCGAATATCAACAACATCTTGCATAGTCTATGATGAAAGAGTGCAATGATGTTAAGAACTTTGCCAAGATCTGTGAGGGAGAGAAAAGTGGGTTCGAATTTCAATTCTATATACTTTAACACTCGTTTCTGATCGTATTTCCTAAAAAATACATACAACATCAAGAAATAATAATGGTTTATCGAAATTTGGTGTTTTCTTTGCATTTTTAATAATAGTTGATTCAATTTCATGACCACCAACTTCAAATACAACTTGTGGACAATCAACATCTGATAACATAAATGTTTTCATATTTCTAATACCCCAACAAAGAATCTAAAATAATTTTTTTTTTCATTAAAAATAATTTTTTATTTGTAATTAAAAACAAACCTCAATTCCTGTTCGTACAAGTTGAGGTCGAATTGTTTGTGGTACAATAAATAAAGAACCACGTTTTGGTGGATGTGGAGGCATTTTTTTCTCATTATCAATTTCAGGTAACTATAAAGGAAAAATTTTCGTTTTCTTTAAAATCTTCTTTAAAAATAAATTTACTAAGAAAAGTTCAAAAGCAGCTAATAATTCTCCTGCATCATCTTTTCCTCTTCTTACAGGAAACCATTTTAATTTAATTGTTGGTTTTGTTTCATCAGGTGCTAAACGAACAATTGGTGAACATTGAACACGACCAAGAAAATCTGGACTTCCCTTTAAAATAAAAAAACAAAGGAAAAAAGTAAAGTATATATATATATATATATTGATGTTTACATATTGATCTTTATCAAATAATTCAATTAGAATATTTGGTGGATCATGATGAATTTCATCTGGTTCACCATAGAGTTCAACACTTGAAAAAATTAATGTCTAAAAAATTAAAAATTAATAATTAAAATAAATGAATAAATCGAATTTACTTGATCCCATGTTGGACATAAACTTTGTTGTATAATTTCAGTACGTTGACTTTGATTAATAAAACCAATTTGAGCATAAGGATCAGAAAAACTATCATGATCCATTGAAAGAAGATTTCTTGCTTGATAAATATATGCACGAAGTTCATAATAATATGCTTCTAGAAAATGAAAAATAAATCATTAATTTTAAATGAATAAAAATAAAAATTTTACTTTTAAAAGTAAGAAACATTCGTGGTGCATTTAATTCAATTTTAACTTCTTTAGTTGTTGCTGTTGTTGTTGATGGTGAATCCGATTGATGTTGATCAACTTTTGAAGGTGAATCAGTTGGAACTTGAACTTGTGATTGCATTCGAAAGATAATATCTGTATTTGATACAGGTCCTCCAGTTGAACTACTAAGATTTTGTTCAGCTGATGGAACCATTTTTCTATGCCATCGTCGACGACGTGTCATATCCATACTTCGTTCATCAGCATGAAATTTCATATTAAACATAGGAGCATATTCCCATCCTTCATTTTTTTTATTTTCACGAACTTCTTTTTTCTATGATATAAACAAAAAACAATTTATTAATTTATAATGAAAAATAAATAAGAAGTTTTTTGTTTGTTTTTTTTAAATCTAAAGGGTATCTAAAACGCACTTCAGTTTCATCAAATGAAATAAGTAAAGGTGTAGTTTCATTAGATGTATGAAATAAATATGAATTTTCCTGAACATATAGATTTTATATTAATAGAAAAGAAAAAACAAAAAAAGAGATGAAAATAATTACTTTTTTCTCATCGAGACTTTTATCTCCTTTAAGAATTCGATTTCTATACCAACGTCGTCGACGATTTAAATGAAATACTTTTTCTGTTGGACACCATCCACCAAGTGTTTGATTAACACAATATTCAAAACCTGTATGAATAAATGAAAAACAAAAATCAATTACTTTTATAATTGATAAAATAAAAATAAAAATAAGTTATAACCTTCTTCATCAACAGCTCGATTAGCATCAATAGTCCATTCATCTTCCCATATCCATCCTGCGGGTGGTTCTGTTCGTTCATTTTTACTTAGAACTTTATCACCAGCCTATTAAGAAAAAACAATCAATAGTAAATTAATTATCTTATGGGTATTTTTCTAACTAAATCAGTCCAAGCAACGGTTTTCGGTTGCCATTGAGCTCCAGCAATAAGACGACATTGATGTTCATAAACTTCTTCAGTAAATGTTCGATGTCCAGCATCATCTGCATATCGAGCACTAATAACAAGAATATAATATTAATTCGAATTCATTAAAATCTTTTTATAACGTACACAAACATCATAAAAATTACTATTTAGGTCTCTTTTCTTTTCAATAAATCGAAATAGTCTTCTTAATACTCATAGTCTACAATAAAATAACAATAATGAGCACCTCCGTAAAGTGAACCACAGTTGTAATCGGTCAGTTCAGCTCAGATCGGTTACAATTCTGAAGTCAACACTTTTGATCGGTCCCGATGATGCTCACAATAGAGAGGTATTTCTGGATTCAGATATAGTTTGATGTTTATTATTTTTTCATTATCCATTGTTTATATTATAGATATTAGACATTTTTTGAATTTTAAGTACAATTGTATATTATAAAAAAAGAACGTTGGGTCATGGACTATTTTCTTTTTACTTTTTTCTTAACTTACTCAAACTGTTACGGTTTGATGTTGTCAAAAATTAATTTTTTTCTACAACTTCAATCACTAAAAAACAAGTCATATTAACACAAGTGTATATCTCCTATTGACACATTATACAATAGATTTCGTTTTCAAAATAGTCACTAATAAGTTAAATCATCTCGAATAAATGTTTGACTGTATTTTAAGAAATGAAACAGAACTATATATGTATCATTAAAAGAAGAGATCAATGATATATATATATATATATTGCATTGTTTGTTACTATTTTAAAATTTAACATCAACAGAAAGGAAAATAGATTTTCTAATTTGTGAGTACCAGATATAGGACTGATTGATGTGTTTTTTGGAAACGAACTGATCCCACATCTGATGAGTACATCTCTTATTTATTTAACTGGATGATTATCAAAGATTTCTTTACCTTATTTCTGGACTAATATACCAATCACCTTCCCATCGCCATCCAGAAGGTAATTGAAAATTTGTTTTCGGTAAACTTATCTAAAAAATTCGAATAAATGAAACAAAAAAAAAACAAGATTTATCATGAATTAATTTTACATTTCCAATAACATCTGACCAAGCTGGTCTACTCATTAATGGTCCACCTGTAGTCCATTGTCCAAGTACATTTGTTTGATTTTCATAAGTTTCAGCATAAATTGCTAAATCGGCACCTTTTTGTTGTGATAACCAATCTTGTTCATGTATTGCTAAACCTAACCAAATTTTAACTCGAATTTCTGCTGGAATAAAATTTTTTTTATCTTTTCCAATATCAGATTCTTTTCCTGGCCATTTTAATGTTATTGATTGAACTTTTCCACAAAGACGACCACGACGATCAACATGTGTTGAATAAAAAACTTCATTAGCTGGTAAACGATAATATGAATAACGTTTACCATTTGATAATAGCCATATAATCACATCGGGAATACTATTTTGTGGCTAAAAAATTCAAATTTTTATTTTATTCAATTGTAAAATAAAACGTTTTATTTTACTTCAACTTCAAGAAATTCAACATTTTCTTTAATATCTTCTAATGTATTAATAATTTCTTTCGATGTTTTAGCATGTAATTTTAGTTGTTCTAATTTAGTTATCATATCAGAAAGATCTTTTAAACGCATTTGACGTCTTAAACGATCAAGTTCATTAACATGATGACGACCTGGTTCAGGTTCAGGTAATGGTTTTCTATTTATACAATCAAATTAAATAAAAATAAATAATGCTTTTGTTTTTTATTTTAGTTTACTTTAAATGAGCCATAAGCATATCAAGAGATTGTTTATAATGTCGAACAAGAACTTCTTCAGATGTTTGTTTGATTTTTAATAATTCTAATGTTGACATGAGACCCGTCTAAAAATGAAAAACATTTATTTATTTCTAAATGAATTATGAAATGGTTAACATACAATAAATAATTTAATCTTTGATAATTGATTCATTGCTTCTAAACGAAAAGTAATATCTTCCCATTCACTTGCTACTTGTACACATGGTTTTGTATGTCCCCATGGCAAAAAATAATAAGATGTTCCATCAAAAACAGGATTTGCTGGTGGTGTTGTTGAACAACTTGCATTGCCAACAAGATCATCAAATTTATTTCCATAATTTCCAATACTTATTTCGAATTCAACTGTTGATTCATGTTCATATAACATACAAGCATCAAGAAATGCTGCATGTAATTTATATTTTTTTCGTGATTGATATGGTAATGCACGAACTATGTCGGAATTTGATATTTCACCAATAGGTTCTGTTGGAGTTTCACCAAGAATTGTTTGTAATTCAACAAATAGTCGACCACGATAAGCAACACCTTCGCCCTTAGTTTTGAAAAAAAAACATTTTTTTTTAAATAATAGATGAAGATTTGTCTTAATATTGTTACTTTTCCACTATTTAATTCATCTAATATTGTTGGAACTTCAGAATATTCACGTGGTGCACCGTATAAATTAATCCAACATGGACCAAATGTTGGAAGAAAACCTTTAGAAATAAAATAATTATATCGAAAGTCATTAGAATTATTTGAATTTCTACCATGATCTTTAGTGAATATATCAAGAATACCAACACCAATTATATCACTCTGCATTAAGCGATCCCTTTATCACCAAAACAAAATTATTTTATAAAATATAAGAACCCAATACCATAAATATTAAATAAATTTCTACATAAAGCATTTTTTTAAATTCACAAGGGGATATTTTCAATTGTCGAACATCGTTTCATTCCATATTTTGACTATTTGCTGAATATCAGAAAAGTAATAATCTCATAAAGGCGTATGCTGACAAATAACGTTCGACAATTGGAAACATATGTTCTACAATTACTAATCTATTAACTATAATTTATTTCCAAAAAGTAACTTTAAAACAAAATGAGATATTTTAGCATATTCATGAACATTTTCGAAATGTACATATGAACACAATCTCTCATTAACTTTATAAATCCACAATGAAATGAACTTGAAACCAATGTAAGGGAACAAATGTTTTCAAGTTATTATTTAAAAAGTATCTATCAAGCACTGACTAGAATATCTATATATCATTTTTTAAATAGTTAAAACTCTAGGATACTAACTATATTTGTTTCTACAAAGCGAATCTACTTTTTCTTAAAAATACCCCTGTCATTTAATTGACTTAATTGCATAATCTGAAGAAAATTTCTTGCAACTATATCATCAGATGATATTTTGTCCCTTTAAAAAGAAAAAAAACAATATATACATATATATTTTTCTGATCCCATAAAACCATTATTTCGTTTTCAAAACAAATATGTGCAATAAAAAAAAAACCATTAACATATATGATTAATACCATTTTCTCGATCATCACAAAAACGATTAATATGAAGTAATGTTGAGCATGTTAGATCATCGAATTGTAAACGATCCCTGTGTATTTTAGGTTTTATTAAATATTACTTTCAGAAAATCTTATGATTATAAAAACGAAAAAAAAAGAAAATTCCTTCTTACCAATCCATAACAGTTAAGACTATTTTATCACACATTGATGGAAACTAAATTCAAATTATAATTAAAAACAAATAAATTCAAATGAATCTTTTACTTTAAGACCAAGTCGAAGTTCTTGATTAAAATCAGGATGTGAACATGTATAAACAATTTTTGTTGAAACCTATATAAATAAAAAAAAAGAAACAAGAACATTAGATTTATTGATATTTATTAAAAATACTTGTTGTCCAGCAAATGAAAAAATGACATAAGGATCAATTAATTCCTTAATATCTTCTGCTGCATGAAAAATTTTTTTAACTCCATTTAAAAATGCACTATCCACTAAAAAAAACAACAAGAAAAATTTATATATTTTTTCAAAGCACACAAAAAAAAAATCTTTCTCAATACAAACTTCTTGGTAAATCATCCGCTTTAAAAACTTTTAAAATAAATGTTGCTGGACGAAGCATCAGACCAGCTGGTTTTAATAAATTACTTTCAATGTCATCATCATCAGCAGCATTTTCTTGTGACTAAAATAAACAAGTGTAAAATGTTTGTTAGCGCAACCTGTTTAGGATTGAACTATGGAGCTCACATATATTTTCAAACATTCAACATTGTCTCACTATTGATGCCTTAAACTTACACTCTGTTCTCTGTTTGCTCCTATTTTTTATCTGAACATTTCTGCCAACATTTTTCCCTAAGCAAACCTCTTATGTTTGCCTGCGTTTTAGAACCTATCGGATTCAAAATTTTTGGATTCGGATCCGACTAAGTCCAGCGCCAGACCGACGGATTCTATTGTGTAAGCACTAGTAGTGACAGAGGTATTTAAATGATTCATTTACGCTTGCAGTTACTATGGAAACTTACTGAATGACTTTCAACTCTGATTGCTAGGTTCTGTTATGGCGGAGGGGAGAGGACCCCAATACTTCCATTGATGACCTTTAACTTCAGATGTTAAGATCTGTAGTGGAAGAAAAGAGAGCTGCAAAATTTCGATCAAGATCTATCAAGTTTTATAACTAAGATTTAGAATGGAATAGGGAAGAGAACCACGAAACTTGGACATAAAACTTACATTGATTATTTTTTCAAACGTATATGTGAGCTCGAGAAAATTTCAAACAAATCCTATTGAAATTCTTACCGGTGCTTCATCACCTGGACCTAATATATTAACAGATACTTTAAGATAACCTTTGGCACCAGTCATTCGATCATCTTCATTACTTAATAATAACCATTTTCGATTTATTGAATGTCTTGGTTGAGAATAAATATAACCAATGTCCATTTTAAATGTACCTATTTTCATATCAGCTCGAAGTGTTCTCGAATTACAAACTTCAAATTCTATCATTTCATCACATAATTCAATTTCAGACATATTTAAATTAAAAAAGAAAACTTCATTAAAATATGGTTGATTTGTTCCTTTTTGAATTTTTGTTTGTTTAACAGTACTAAAAACTCGTACTCGACAAACAGGATGTAAATTACTTCCATCTAATTGACGAGCTTGAAAGATTTTTATTCGAATCTAAAAATTAATCATTTAAAAGTAATTCAAAAACAAAATAAAGGAATATGAACTTGAAAATCTTGTGATTTCGTTGATCTTGGTTTAATCGGTCGTTTTAAACCTTGATCACCACTAACTTCTAATTGCCATGATGTATCACCACTATTTTGTAAAGGTATATCATCAAATTGATTTGGATCACCTTATAATAAAAAAGAAATTATATTTCAAATAAAGAAAAGAATATTTTACCATTTTTATAATTTGTTTGCATTTTTTCACTAGTATTTGGTGGAATATATTCCAATGAAATATATAATTTAGTCTATTTCAAATGAGATAATTATATGAGAGAAATAAATCTATGTAATACATACAGCTTCAAGAAGAACACCTTGAGGATTTGTTAATTGAACAGTACGTCGTTTTATTATATTAGTACGAAGAACATCACTTAATAGTACTGACCCTTGTCCAATGAGCCTAACAATCGAAAGATAATAATGAAAGAGTTCAGAGGTTAAAAAGAAAAGACAAATATACTTGTTAGCTCCGATCGTTTCATGATCCTTAAGATGAATTTCAAGTGTGTCCGTATTTTGAATTGGAATACCATTAAGAGGAAAGTCAAGTGTCTAAATCAATATATGACAATAGAATTAGTCAAAAATAAAGATTTGACTTACTTCTTCCCATTTTGGATCACATGTTGATCGTTGCCAATTGGTTTGTTTTTTAATACCTTGCAAAAAGAAAAAAGAAAAATAAATATGATAAAAAATTCAATATTAAAATAAAATAAAAAGTAATGATAAAACTACCATGATAAAAAACATTTATATAAGGATCTGGCGATCCTCGAAATCTTTCTGTTGAAGGAACATTATCAACATTGTGTATAATAACTCGAAAAATTCCATCTCTATTTGCAACATTAACATCACCCATCGTTCGTTTTGTTTTATCAATAATAAATATTTCACTATTATATTTTATGTGACTATAAACTCCCACACAATGAGTGATTGTAAAGTTTATACATGTACATACCTTGAAAAATAAGTGTCACCAATGGATCAACATTAATAAACCGTTCTACATTAGGAATACGCTCCGCATTGTGAACAGTTACTTTTAACATTTTTTATTTTGAAAATATATGAAAAAAGTATAATATTAAAAGACCATATTATATTTCTATGATGTGTTTTTGTCGTCAAAAGGAGAGATGAGGATATCAAAAAAAAGAACGACGATGACGACAATGACGGTCTATCGAACAAAACTTTATTCTTCTTGTGTTTTTTTTCTTGCTAATGTTATACTGCAGTACCAGCTGGTGCACTATTGAATACGTCATAAAGACAAGTATTGACGAAGATGATGGCGGGGGAAGAGGAAAATTTTGTTTATCATTTAGTATCGATTAACAAAATGCAACAGCAGCGACCTAGTGATGCGAAAGACGTACTCAGCGTCTTTTTTCCCTTTCAAAAAAAACCAAACGATATTTCTAATTTTTAGTAATAATATCTATGAAAAATAAATGATATTAGTAATATTCACAGAGTAATTTCCAGAATGTTCGTCAATTGAGCAATAAAAAAACGAAATGCTAAAACAATAATTAAGATCAGGATTTCAAATGGGATGGGGCAATCCCATTCTGCCCCAAGTAACAAATTCTTTTTAAATGTTCTATGGAACCGAATGAGACGAATTTCTTTTTGCTTTTGGCTCATGAAAAAATGCATGTTATTTTTTCGTAGACATATCAATTCAAGATGCTTTACATAAATGAGGTGTAATAGGATTTATTCTATCCTCATTGCTGATCTTTTTCTTCCACATAAATAGGTGCATTACTAATTTTCTTTTACTATTTTTCCATGAAAAATGTTAAAAATGTTTTATAGTAATTTAAATAATGAAAATTAAACTTGTTTTCGTGGTGTTCTATCTACTTTAAACAATGAATTTACACATTTTCGAATATTCTCCTCGTTACAGTTATAGATGATATAGATCAAAACGCACAATTATCAACAATCTTCACTTTAAATCAATTTTCCACACAATTTTCTTTACAAGTTTTGATTGAGACGAAAACTAATAAGCAGATTCTGATGGATTCTTCTAAAGTCCAAATATTATAAATTTCAGCTAATTCCACAAAGACATGAAGAAATCTGCCAGATTGTATCATAGTTTGTAAGGATTTTCAGTGACTTTTATCAATCTAGAAAGACTAACGAAAATCATCAGAAGCTGAAGACTCATGCTTAAAAACACATTGAAGACGAAGCATTATTACATGTTAATACTTTCGAGGGAAGATCCCCAACTGATCCATGCCGTTTTCAATGATATTTTGTCTATATGTCGGTGACAGTAGTCTAGGAAAAACTCTAAGAGAATTTGAACCGATGGGGCTTCCTTAGAGGCCTAGCACAAGGTAACTATATAGGGAAAAATTGAACAGCGGAATTTCAATCTGAAATTTTGCTCATATATAGCTCTTGTGGTCATTAAAACACTCTGAAAGTTTCAGCGGAAAAATATGTTTCCTTCTGGAGGTATTGATTCTTAAAAATTTGTCTCATAATCCATAAAGTTCTGAAAAACTGCCTTTTTTTTTTAAATGGAATATCTCCAAAAGAAAACATATTTTTTCGTTGAAACTTTCAGAGTGTTCTAATGACCACAAGAGCTACATATGAGCAAAATCTCAGATTGAAATTCCGTTGTTCAATTTTTCTCTATATACCTTGTGTTATATAGACAAAAAAAATCAGTAAAATGATCATAACCTTCTAAGGAAGTCTCATCAGTCCAAACCCTCTTAGAGTTTTTCTTAGAATACTGTCTCCGACCTAGGCACAAAATATCATTGGAACCAGCGGGGATCACTTGGAGATCTTCCCTCGTTAGTTTTTTTCAGTTAAGATAAGGGTATTTTCATGGGATCCCACCAGATCGATCGAACGACCGCGTCTAAATCCGTTGAAACTTCTAGAGTTTGTAGAGCTTTGTGTGCAGATCATTTTGGTACGAAATTTAGTTTAGTTTGATTCTATTTTTATAAAGATACAGGTCAAATACTAAAATTGCTTTTTGATTATTTTCAAAAAATAAAATCTGCATTTTTTTAGAAATAACAATGAAAGTCTCTCTTAAATCACTCAAATTTTAAAGCCAATCACATATTTAGTCTCCTCGTGAAAAGCTGAAAAGGAATCCTAAGGAATGAGTAGCATTTTGGCGAATTTTTATATAGTCCACTAGTTCCCTATGTAATGCACAGAAAGAAAACTGGTTTGAAAAATTTAATCAGAATGATGGTATTAGCAATTTCATAGAACGCAACTTGCTCTACAAGATGCACTATTTAATTTAACCTAAGCTATTAATTTAGGAAGGAAAGACTGTCAACAGTATTTTAGATTACAATTTTTCCAGCAAATTCTGATGAATGTATTCGTAAAATCTGGTAACTTAGGCTGATGACCATTTCCAAATCCATCGCGACTTTCAGAACTTGTAGGGTTTATTATGCTGATCATTTTGATGATAAATTATTCAATGCTCGATTTTATTTTCATACCGCTGTCGGTCACATAATATTAACCGCTATTATCTCATTTTCCTTGTTATGCACAAAAAATGACAAAAGTTATTTGAAACAGAGGTGTTAGCGCCACACCATATACGTAAATTAAAAGGCTAGTTATATAACCAGATGGCGCATGGAAAACTGCACGAAAATTTGCTCGAAATTTACGAATTCTCAAATATTCTTATGATGCCCATCTAATCGTAGTAATACACAATGGAAAGAGGATTGATCAAAAAAAGATTTAGAATTAAATAAAAAATCAAATGATCCAAAATAAGAATGCAATCAATTCAATAGAGCAGAGTTTCCTCTACAATGTGGACTAATCAGTTTTCTTCCCATCTTTCATTTTGAAGGGAGCGTTTGTTGAAAACATCTATAAATAATTGTTTACAAACTATAAGTAGATACATGTTTAGTTTCTTTCACTAAGACTTCTTTCAAAAAACTGTTATTTCTGTGATGAGTCATATCAAAGATTAGCGACATGATTTTAATGTTAGTCACATGAAAAAGACATAATCGATGAAAAAAAATAAGCCTTTGTTCATTCTAGATATTTTGAATGTCTAGGAATTGCTGTGCACCGATAGAAATATCGCTGTTTAGCAGGCGCTCTGTATTATCTATCAAGAGCATGAATCTTAAATGTGTGGGTGGTTATATTATTAGATTGTGAGGCACGACGTAGGAGATTGATCCATTTTTATCCGCATCAAACTGGTGAATATCACGGATGCCGGAAATAGAATCTAAGGAAGATAAATATTGTCACAAAAAGTTAACCTAATAAATGATATCTCTTGAAGAAAGCCGGTCCCAACTCGGCGTTAAACTTTTGTCGAATTCTTGGTTGACGATATCAGCAGACAACCGACGAGCTTCAATAGGTCGATTCGGTTCAGGCATATGAATGGATGCGCAGCTTGAAGCTTGCATTCGACGAGGTTTTGCCACCACAATACGATCATTTTTTTCGAAGCACCATTCAAAGAATTGTTTTGGTGAAGAAAACGAGACATGTGGTCCACTCTTGAGCAAGTACTGTGTAACCGTTGATTTGACTACAGAACCGATTCCATCACACAGACCTTTGCCGTGTCCACTTGCACTGAAAGTTCATGATGCCTCGATATTAAAATCTCTATGATGATGAGCCAAATTGCACATATTATATTTGTCTAATAAAAAAAAGTATTTATCTCAACTGCTAATTTGAAGCATCGAACACTTACTCTTAAAGTGAGCAGATGCTCCATCACTCACATACTTGATCTTCAAAACGTTGTGATATTCTTTGTTAATGAATTATTTATTCTTTTGATTTACCTGCAAGATTCTTGAGTAGCTTGGAATTTCGTTTATTTGAGGGATATCTGTTTTCGATGACCATACAATTGAAGTCTCAATTGATTATTTTTTTCTCTTAGTTAACTAATGCGGTTTGCATATTGAAACATAATTATGACGTGGTAAAGCCGTTATTTGAAGAATTGGTTTCGATAGGACTCTTAATGAAATTGAACAATGAACTTAAGTCTGGTAAAAACAACACAACGTTGTTTATCAAAGTTTTTCTGGAGTCACTAAACATGCAGATGGTGGAACAATTTGCTAACAATATTTAGCAAAAGTACAAATACCTTGGGTAAATATATAGCGAGAGTTGTAAAAAGTTGATTTTATCATTATCATCAGCGAAACTTTCCGAAGAGGCTAATGCTATTGTAAAATCTAAATCATATTCAAAGTAATTTCATTTCATAAGGCTATTATAGAAACCGTTATTTTTTGTTTACCTTTTTTTCACAAGTTGTATTGAAGAATGTTTGGTGGTTTCAACATCATTGAAAAGGCTGATAGCATCGCATAATTCAACATCAATTAAAAAGAAACAAAAACAAATAACAGAAATACGGTCCATGAATACACAAACAACAATACTTCAATATTTTAGTAAAAGTACAAAAGAAATCGTTGCTCCACCTTCAAAAAAAACTAACGTACAATCAAGAGAGGATGAAAATTGTTCAATTATTTCAGACTTACCATTGTAAGTGTTGAAGAAAGTTTCTTTTGAATATATCGTTGACTATTTTATTACCTTCTACGTAGTCATGCTCAACCGAATATTAATGATAAAACTCTATCAGTACCACCAACTAATTCACTATCATCATCACACGTACAAACATCAACTATATCCTCAACTTGCTCGTCATCTTCCACGGAATTAACATCAAATTATGTCCGTAATCGTTTTATGCTTCGACCTTTTTCACGAATTGCACGGGTATCAAACCAAATCTCTAGGCCAATTCAAGGACTTAAGCAGCAACAAATATCTCATGAAAACTCACAGAACAATTCCTTATAATATTTAACTAAAAAAAAGGACACGAATAGAAAAAAGCGCTATGTAAGATACAAACAAATTTGATTTTTTTTCAACACATTTTCTTACGTAGTTTTATGAGATCTATTTGATTGTATATAAATCACCGAAAAAATAACTTCCCTAAACTTTAAACTTTTTACATCTTAAATCATCTTATAATTTTCATGTAGTTTTTGCATGTCTTCTTTTTTTTAATGATCTTTTCCGCTCAGCAGAACTCTTCGTTATCAAAGTAGAATACCCATAGATTGCCTGATGTGTAGGTTGACAATTATCAATTTGATTATTCAGTATAGAAATATTTGCATGAAATGCAGCGAGAATTATGATTGAAAAGGAATCACCTTGTCTGTTTGCCCTGCTAGTCTATCATTGATAGAACAATGTTATTTTCTCCTTTCTGATTACATTCCATGTATCATATTATATTCTACGTAAAAATGACCACAGATTTATTATAGTATTGAGATGTCTTATCTATATACAGTTCTTTTTATTTGTTCACAATTGACAAATGTTTGACATGAATACATTCATTAATAAGAAAATACAAAGTACTATTTTATTTTCACAACAAAAAAATTTAAAAAAATATAAATATTTTTTCTAGTTTGAATTGTACTGCAGTGTTTACCATTATAAAGACATCATACGATCGCATAATCTGACACATTGCATAAGAAAATCTATATCAGCGTCTTCACGATTTGTGTTTCCAATTAAAAGTGCGAAATAAAGAGTATTTTTTGATTAAGGCAATGAAGACATGATTTCTTACCCATATCAATTGAAATCGTTTTTATAAACTCTTTTTGTAAAGCATTTGAAGGGTGTGGGTGTGGGTGTTACTCTCTGTTTTCTCTTCACCCCCACCCACACACACCCACACCCACACACACACCCCGACACTTCGAAAGTTACACAAGCCAACACGCATATTCAGCATACAATCAACACCGGTGATAGGTTTTCGATTAGTTCACGACCATACCCAAGAACAATTGAACAACGGCGTGAACTTCAAGATGAAATCCAAAAAATGACGCAAACTAATCAAATTCGCCCATCAAATTCATCTGGGTCATCTCCAGTTATTATTCCCAAGAAAAAGGATGGTGGTATTCGATTTTTAGTGGATTATCGAAAATTAAACTCGGTGACCAAAAAAGATTGTTTTCCTTAACCAACAACTTAAGAATTATTACATCGATTAGGTGGTCATCGCTTTATACAAAATTAGATCTTAAATCAGGTTATTTTCAAATTCCAATACATGAAACAGATAGATAAAGAAAAAACCGCTTTTATCACACAATATGGTTTATGGGAGTTCAATGTTCTTCCACAAGGTATTATGAATGGACCACCAACTTTGCAAAGGACTATGAACAATCGTCATGCTTATGGACGCTGGGATTATGTCATGGTTTATTTACATGATATTCTGATATTTTCCCGTAGCTTCGATGAACATAAAAAACATTTAAACGAAATTTTATCCATCTTAGCTAAAGTCAACTTCCAAGTTAATCCTAATAAATGTTCCATTGCTATTCAAGAAATAGATTTTTTAAGTCATACAATCAGCGAACAATGCATTAAACCTAATGGTGATAAAATTAAAGCTATTATTGATTTACCAGCTCCAAAAACACTTAAAGAAGCAAATGAATTTTTAGGAAAAATCAATTGGTATCGAAAGTTTATTCCTGATTTTGCTCGCATAGTTGCACCATTACACAAAGTTACTAACAAAACAAAACAAAACATCATCGACATGAATTTACATGGGGATCTGACCAATAACAATCATTTCATGAATTTAAACGTATTCTGACAACATATCCATTATTTTTAGAATATTCAGATTTATCAACTCCATTTGTATTAACAACGGATGCATCAGATATTGGCATAGGTAAAATTTTACGACAAGATACACCGAATGGCACAAAGATTAATTATTTTAAGTCACGTGTTTTAAGTGATACTGAACGCAAATATGATACATTTGAAAAAGAAGCTTTAGCTATCTTCTGATGCATTTCTGAACTTCGGTCATATACAGGTGATTCGAATTTTATTGTCGAAACTGATCATAAACCACTTGAAAATTTTCATAACAAACAAATCAATAATACACGAGTGATGAATTGGCTATTTGGTGATTAGCACTGGTCTGAAGAAGTACCCAAACCACAGCGTACAAAATTTATTCAACCATATATTTCAAAAAACACTTGTATTCAAAATGCCGATATCAATGGAGAAATTAATGTTGTTACAACAAGAGCACAATCCAAACATCAAGCTCAACCACGTTCATCTTCAGTACATACATCATCTACATCAACTACATCTCAATCTACGTGTTCTTCTCCATCAACAGCTAATCAACTATATGATTTTAGTTTATCATGTATACGTTCTGAACAAGCGCACAATATAACTATCCAACAAATAATTCAACAAATTCGCAATAATCGTCATTATTAATCGTTCATTATTCAGCAGGGTATTCTGTATAAATTAGTTCGCCGTGATGATACAACTATTAAACTTGTTTATGCACCTTCGAAATTAATTCCCGAACTAATGGCTGCTTATCATGATCACTCACTAAATGGTCATTTTGGCACTGGACGTACATGGTCTACGTTAAGAAACACATATTATTGGCCACATATGAAAGACGCAATAACATCTTATATTAAATCATGTGGTAAATGTTCAAAATTTAATTGGGATCGGCATAAACCACCAGGATTTTTACAATCTATTCAATTACCTAATGATGTTTTTCAAATAGTAGGCATGGATTGGTGGGGACTCACCACCCCTTCACTTTCTGGAAATCGATATGTTTTAGTTATAACTGATTGTTTGTCCGGTTATGTTTTTGCTAAAGCATCACCTACAAATACAGCTCAAGATACGGCTCGCATCTTAATGGAAGAAATTATTTTAGTACATGGTTCACCAGACGTAATTATTACTGATCAAGGAACACACTTCCAGAACAAACTGATGCAAGCTATTTCACATTTAGTTGGTTGTAAACACATTTTTTCAACATCATATCATCCACAAACAAATGGACAAACTGAAAGATGGAACTCGACATTCGTAAGACAAATCGCAAAATATTTTAATACTGATCAAACCAATTGGGACACACTTTTACCATCTATTGTTTATGCTTATAATAATGGTATACACAGCTCTACTGGATTTAGCCCTTATCAACTAGCATTCGGACGACGACCACGGCATTCATTCAAACCTCCTGCATCTACCTCCGTTTTTACTAAACCACATGATTATTGGACGCAGGTGCTACAATATAGAAATGCAGCTTTAAAACAAGCAAAAGAAAATATTATGCATCAACAAGAATTATCAAAAATTCGTTTTGACAAAAACCGATCACATCCGAATTTTGTTCCAGGTGATCTTGTCTGGATGAAAATTTTTGTTAGCCGACACAAACTTAAAGCTTGATACACTGGTCCTGCTCGAATCATTCGAATTTTCTCATCAGTATCATTTATTGTTGAAGATGACAAATTTCAACAATTTCAAGTCCATTCGAACAATATTAGACGTGTATATTCTCGGGAACAAATTATACCCTGAGGAAATTTTCTCTTCCTACGCTACCACATCACACGAATCATCACATATTCATATGTTATCTTTTGTATTTACATTTGCATATTTTTCACATATGAATTTTATCATCGTTAATATTCGAAAAGTTTTATGTGTTTATAATTTCCTTCATCGCTGTTTTTTTCGTTACTTTCTTATCATTCTATATACACTTTATATACATTCCACCATCGTCTTCAACTTATTCGTTACTAATTATTTTCGAAAACGATGGTCCTCTTCATTTGCATTTTGTTCATTCTGACACATTCAATCGATGCCTTTCTTGATCGTAAAACGGTGGTCTCTTGCGACCAAAGTTTTGATACTAACATCTGGACACATTATGTGTTCATACTATTACTCCTCGTGGGGGTTTTGGTGATCATCGCTTTTCTTATTGACGCTCACAAACGCTGCCGGCTGATACTAAGACTGGCGCGTCAACAAAAACAAGAATCACAACATACTCCAGCACATGTCTCTTCCATGTCATCATCAGTTTATCAACCACCGTACGCTTATATGCCTAATTCATTATTACATCAACTCCTACAGCAATACACATCGTTATTACTTTCACCACCACGTGAAACTCTACCATCTTCATTTGCCTCATCAAATCCAATCGTATCATAAACATTTGTTTCTTCACATGATTTATCTGCACTTTTGAATGCTTTCTACTTCATCGTAATTACAACAAATTCATCATTTGCTTTTCTGCCGGTCATCATCTGATATTCTACTTCTAAATAAAAAAGCTTTTATCTTCTTTCTTCATCATTCAAAATTCGTGTTCTTTTTCTCTCTTGGCTATCGCTTTTTTGTATGAGTTTCAAACCCTTTTTCATATTGTACCTTTTGTTCTAAAAATAAACAAGGAGGTATATCATGGAAGAAGAGAGAAAGAGAGAAACAACATTCTTTGCTGCTTTTTTGTTTTTAATTCATTCGCTTGTTTTCTTTAAAAAAGAAAGGAATAAGAATAATAAAGAAAACGGGTAAAGGACCCTAACGCGAACATTCGACATATGCATTCATATTAAACAAAATGTCGAAACATGTAATTCATACAAATGTAATACTTTTCGTACTTGGTTTGCTCTGCAAGTAGTATGTTGTATCACCTAGTGTAAGCGCAAAATAGAGCAAATTTATCTGATTAATAGGCACAATATAGAAGTGAATATCTCAGATTTGTTCCGTGTTACCATCGACGAAAACGATCATGGCTACTTATTCTTAACTCATTCCTTATGTGTTTTTAAAAAATTCTAAACGGCAATATAAAAAGATACCTTAGTAGATAACTGCAGTAATACTTTTTGATATTTTTCTCCAAGAAATATTTATTTCTGCATTTTTTACATAGTTAAAACTGTTCAAAGAACAAATAGCAATTCGAAGAGAAATAATATGAGAATTTATTCATTAAATAATTTAAGTTCAAATGCAACTGTGATTGTTAATAAAACTTCAAAGAATGTTATGTTTTTATCGCGATGATTCTTCCTTTGGAATAAAGACAATTTGTAATAAAATTTGTCCAGCAGGTCTATTATCTTTTCTTAATGGTAACCAAACTTGTTCTTGATGAATCAATTGACTAATATTTATTTCACACATTCCTAACATTTTTGATTCATTTCCTTTGATAACCCGAAGTCGATCTTGTTGTTGAACCCATATAGTCAAATAGTCCATATTTAAATTAGAAATATTAAAACAAAATGGACCATTACCTGATGTCCAATATGAATTTCGATTTGTTGAATTTGAATCAGCTTGCGTTGTTTGAAAACGTTGTTTATTACATTCAATAATGACATAAGGACGTTTGAATGAAGTTGTAGTCAACATTGATGATCGGGATTCATGTAAATCTTGTGTACGAAGAATTTCTATGATAAGTTGACCAGATTTTTCAACTATTGGAGATGACGTCATTTCAGAAATTTGTTGTGATTTACTGTGATTATGCCGATTTTTCCACCAATTTTCAGCTTTGTTAATTCCAGCATCTATAATTCGATTTTCCAAATTGGAAACAACAACAAATTCTGTAATATGAATCAAATGTTTCATCTTTAGAAAATATTTTTTTAATGTCGTAAACAATGACTTGATGCTGCGCTTCAATGTATATATCAAAAGTATGACTAATATCGAAATATCTAATACGAAACATTTTCTTCATTTCTTGGCGACACCTGTATAGACAAATCAACTGATTACTCAACAAAGCGAATCATACATCGGGATATACTTTGCTCAAATAATTTTGGTATACTGTGAGGAGAGTAAAAAAGCGTTTCTTTCTTGCTTTTATTAACAAATGTCGCAATACTTGTGGTTAACGTTTACGAATCTCCAACGAGTTACGAGACAAAATTCGACACCCTTATAGAGTTATATGAAATGGTACGATGGAAAAAGAGAGAAAAGAAAAATGTCGAAAGAAAAAATGTCGAAAGAAAATATCGAAAAGAAGAATATCGAAGAGAGAAATGTCGAAAAGTGAAACGTTGAAAGAAAAATCGTCGAATAGAAAAATATAGAACAAAAAAGATCGAGAAGGAAAAATATTGATTTTCATTATAACAATTTACAGCATCGATAAATCATTTATTGAGTAAAGAAAAGTAATAGAAAAATTCATACCTAGCATCTAGAGAAATGTCACTAAAAATAAATTTATGATAATTCAGTTATCTTTTATTGCACGAGTATTTGGCAACAACGTAAGATAATGAAGTAAAAAGTTCATTAGCATCAATATCACCCTTTTCGTGACCTGAGTATAAGGTAATTAACGATTTTGCATAAGCTTCAGGTACACAAGAAACTTGAAAATCATAGATAATACCTGTTTGAAGATGTCTTGCTGTATCCTATGAACGAGGTTGAAAAAGGTTACTTCAGTCAAAGAAAAAGAAGTATTCGACTACCTATTTCCTTTTATGATGGAAGGATAGTAATAACTAATGACTTAAAACAAGATCTTGACGATTTTTCGTCGTATATTTTCAATGTCAGATTATTTCTTTTTTTGATAGCGCGTAGTTTTATAATTTGTTTGAGCATTCGAATCGCACGGTTTTCTGATTCAGGTGAATGAATGATTACCTTTAGCTCTTACTACAATATCATTTATGTCTCTATGCTAAGTCACGGTACAAAGTAGTTTTTCACATCAATAGTGTTTTATTGTATTTGCGGCTTTGTCAAATCTAAATATGGAGTTGTCCATTATCAACAATGAGTTTCTTTTTTTATGCAAATAGAAATGATATCAGATTAGACACTATAGTCATATTATCTAAATTAAAGACAACCAACTAGCACACGTTCGATTACTATTGCATACTTAAAAAACGTTTCAAAATAGGATTTATTTCAGCTCAGTAAACATGTTCGGTACGCCAATTGTGACAATGGATAATATATCGAGTCATGAAAAAAAGAACCTTTCAATTGCCAAATTCAAGCAACCTCTAACAATTTATATCTTCCCCATCTATCTATTTTTCACATTCTATAGTTTTCTTTTCGACGTTTTTCCTTTCTGTCTTTTCCCATCCTTTCTATGAAATCATGTAATGGCAAATTGGTTTAGTACGAAAAACTAGCGGCAAATAGAGAATGAATGTTTGAAAAACACAACCCTTACTAATTACTTGTGTTCTTATCACAATTTACTAAAGTTTTAAGCGTCTGACATTGTATTTTAACAAATGGCACAACTCGATGAAATTTTTATCATTGATAGAGGCCATTGAGAGATTTTGTTAACGTTTTTTTTTTAGTCAGAACTGATTTATTAAAATAATACGGAGTATTAAGGAATTTCAAAAAATGGAAACTTTTTTATGCTAGGATCAGAGTTTAACATGTTGCTATAAGATGAAATGACATGCGAATAAATGTTCTACAAATAAGTCGTGCAATTTTACTCAAGCTTTCAGAATAGGAGCTCATTTTTCAACAAACATGGCTGCATCGAATAAGCGGTCATGACTGGTGTCGTCTTTGTTTAAGGATCTATGATGATGAGTTTCAATAATGCCGTCCGATGAGACTCTTAAACAAGGTCGAAACCGGTCACGCTGTTTATTCTTAGTTCTAAGAAGTTTGATTATCTTGAGATATATGCTCGAGGGGGAAGCAGCGGACTTCAAACTTCAAGGCTTCAAAGGACTTCAAGTGACTTCAAAAAGAAAGATATCAAATTTTCAAATGGTTTCAAAAGACTTTAAAAGAATTCATTTGACTTCAGGAGAATTCATGGGATTTCGTAAAATTTTAAGAGACCTCTGAGACTTCAAAAGGGAAGTCTCATCTGTTTTTCCCTCGATGACTCCAGTAGAAAAGCGTCAAGAAAACTGAAAACTTGGTCAAAATGCTACAACATGTAAAATATAAAATTAGATCAAATTTTTATTTGAAAAGCTGCATGAAACAAAATTAAAGCCTTCAGCTCTATTGGATGCCCTAAAGACTGATTTGTCTATTTTCGAAGTGGAGGGAGGGAAAATTCATGTGAAATACGAGGACAATCAACGTTGTAGATGTGATGATGTATGATCGTTTACGGTCGTCGCATATAAGTCGTATTTTATCGTATATGACACGAATATATATGGCCATAATTCTGGCGGCAAATGGAATGCCGAAATGTGATGGTATACGGCCCCAATTTATGCTGTATACAACTGTAGGCGATCGTACACGACGCTGTATATGATTGTTTACGACTGTCGTCATTTTTGTTCTGGATACTTCTTTTTCATAAAATTGCAGGTAAGATTTTCTCCTAAAGAATTTAATTAAATTGCTTGTCTTGTGTCCTTAGATAAATATGGTTATGCCAATGGCGTTTCCAATGTCGTCGAAATTTTGAGGTGGGTGTGGATATGTTTTTTATCTTTAAACGCGCACACTCGCATCCTAAGGATGTGGATGGACTCTTCAAAATGTCAGACCAACACCCACACTCTCCTTGTGTCTTTTATCAATCTATTTTCTTCACTGTCAGCTAGTAGACAAACCTCGCTCTCAATAGAACATTTATGGAGCAAATTAGATATTTATGATTTTTAAAACCCTCACGTCCTCGCTGAAAGGATTACAAACCTGACAATAATGTTTTTCAAATTCGTTTCTCTTTTCGAACAAGTGTATAACAGACATCAACTCATAAACAAAGAATAAAAAGTATGCATAGGTTACCATTAGGTTGTGGGCGTGAATGGGTGTGGGGTGTAAGTGTAGGTGAATACAATGCTATACTCCAACCCACACCCTGATATAAAAGTTATTAAAATGATTTTTTTGAATAGCTTTCTTTTCAAATATTGCTCGACAAAATAAAGTATTTCAATATTATTACTAAATGCCAGAAATTTCTCAGACTAAAGTTATGAGGTCAAAGCATCTATTAATGACTATACATCGTCGGTCTCGAAACTCTTTGTCTTCAACTTGATAGGAATTGATTCAATAACGAACTCGATGGACTGTTCATATGAACTATGGTTTTTACACTTGTTATAAAAGGGAAGGAGGATTCAACTACTTTGCTATAGTATATTTAGATGATAGTATTCCTTTTGTTGATAGAAATACAAGGGTAGGGCTTGTTCTACGTGTCGTATGAACAACTATAAAGCAGTCTAGAGGAATATTTTGATCACTATTTCCTATTGAGAGAAAGCTCGAAGCACTTAAAGCGTTTTATATTGATTTTAAAAAACAGAAAAGCTGCTTAAGCATTTTTTTCCTAGATAGAAAATATTGGTAAAGACAATAGAAAATCTTCTTTTTTGTTGCCGCCTAGGTGTGAGTGTGTAGGTAGGGGTAGGGGTGGGTGGGAGTTAGCTTAATTCAATACAAGACTTCCGCTCACATTCACACCCAGACTCACCCATACTCACACCTACACATCATCTCGTACAATCGTTCTTTGTAATAGTCAGCAGTTCCATTCACCTGATGTTGAGCTACGAAACCTCGGGAGTCCGAAAATGAATGAGACTTCTCTTTCAGTTCTGTTCAATAAATGTGAAAGTAAACAATCTTTTGTTTAGACGACCAATGTCTCGTTAATCTCAATGTTGGGAATGAGGAGATAATATATTACCTGATCTGCGACTGTTACGATCGAGTTAAAAGGCCTAATTTCAGATTTAGTAGAAAATTAAAAATGAACAAAACCGGAAAATACTTTAAATGAAACCATTTCTAGTCCTAAGTGAACTAAGCAAGCAAATAAAAAAAGATCTTTGTTTTCTGCAGAAGCGTCTCTAGTATTGACTGGCAGTTGTTGTTTTTGCACACCATCGAGACATTTTTAAATAATCTAACATGATTTTTAATGCTTCTTTTGTTCCTATTCTTTCCAAAGCTAACAATGAATAACCATTAACATAGCGATTTTGATCGAGATAGAGCGCTTCTTTTAATACAGGTATTGCTTGAACTGCTTTGGTGCCAATTTTAGCAATGGATAATGCGGCAACAAATCTGGCATGAGATTTTTGTTTGAAGTCATTCTGCTCATCTCGATTAGACAATACATTTGTCAAACATTGTATAACTTCATCAATATCATCTTGTCTATTCGACTGAATCGTCCCCAATGCTTCACAACAGTATTGTTGGACTAACCATGCTTTACTTGTTTGTACAACATCGATCAATAATGGTAATGTATCAAGAGCTAGTGATCCCATTTCAGAAAAGATAAATGCTATACAATATGCTATTTGTTCCGTATTTTTTTCTTCTCTTAACACTTCTTGTAATTTCGTAATAGCATCTTTACTATACCTACATGCTGTTAATGCATAGGTTGCTTCAAAACGAAAAATTTCTTCATTGTCATATAATCTATCGATTAATATATGGTACTCATTGCATAATGCTAGGTTATAAGCGGCATTAAGACGAATCTTTCCATTTCGATCATTTAATAGTGACGTCCACCGAGTAATATCACTAGATGTAACGAGGACTTTTGGCGCTGCTACAAGACGACCGAGCATCCAATGCCATATATGTTTGACAACCGGCTGCAATACTTCAGCATCTATTGCATCGTAACTGGCATTTGTGGGATCATGATTCCACGTTGGTTTCGTAGGTTCTTCCATTCTATTAAATTGAAACTTGAACATAAAACGATATGAACTGCTTGATGTATTTGCTGTTCCTCTATGTACAATATCATAATGAATTAATACCACAGTACCAGCCCTACAAACGATATAAATATCGTTCTTATCATCGTTCTTTGCATCACTATTTTCAAGTGTTTTATTGTGTTGATATATTTGTGGATCCATAACATCGTATTGCGTTCGAGGTTTAATACCT